GCGGCCGCGAGGTGGCCAGGACGCTCGCTTCGGTTTCTCGCTGCCGAAGTTGCGCAACCGGGTAATATAAGGTGCGGATCGGATTCAAGAAATCAGTCGGGGCGAAGAGTCGACACTTCCTATTAACGCCGATACGAATGAAAGCAACGAAATTGCACACCTTCGACTGTGTGACGAGACAAGATTTTCCGAACCACTGCAGTGTCAACTAGGCCGTTCTTCTATCTTACTTCTAGGTAGGTGCAGCATAGGCTAGCGCGGAACAAGAGGTATGTACTTGTCCGACTTCAGCTAATAGCTTAGTCTGTTTCTCTCGTACTTCCCGATTCCGCTTTTCGGGTGCAACGTAGGCCAGCCCGGAAACCGAGGTGCGCTCCGTCTACGCCAATGTGTACTACGATCGGTTTTCATCGTCCGATTTCTTCGACTTTCTCAGGACTCGGCGTAAGCTCGTCGAGGGATAAGTATTGCCTAGAGGTCAGCGTAGGCTCCCGTGGGCCTCCCGAATTCTAACCCCGACATACGCACCGTAGGGTTGATTTATCCTACAGGAAAAAATCGAAATAAAGTTTGACTAAGAGGTGACGATTTTAATTCATGCCGACAAGTGAGGGACGAATATCATAGGCGACATCCGAACAAATTAAAACCTGCAATTTCAGTAATATGTAAAATCGTAGATGCATTTCACCAAACCAGAACCCTTTTACGGTAACCAAGAAAGCGACTGAAACTAAGCCTGAGAACAACGACTTGGCTGGACAAAGATATCAGAATAACACGTCAATCGAGATGTAGGCAACCGATCCGACGTGACTTGTAATACCGTCCACCTCCTGCTGTTGCTAATTTAATTGCTTCTAATTTACGATTATCTGAAAGAAATAATACAACATTGTATTCATATTGAAACCAGCTATCGTAATGTGACTAAAAAAATGTGTGGCCCTATTTAAAAAAATCAACTTGACTTTGAAATACCATTCACCATTATATCAATAAAAAAATTATTGATACCACCTAAGACAGCTCTTTATACTGAACACTTTTTGTATAAACATTATTTTCGTAGCTTCGATCTATTCCGAGATATTTCACTGTTCTCAGTTAGGCGTAACACCCTGTGTAATCATCCGTCAAATGACCTGAGGAACTCCACATTTCCCGATTTTGAATAACTTTTGGGAACTTTGCATACTAAACTAACCCAGAATTAATCCAAAACTAATACCCACTCAAATGGCAGCAAAAATTTTGAAAAATATCCACGATGTATGTATAGAGGAAAAATGTTTAGAATGATGACCTTGACAACGCATCTCAAAGTCATAAAAGTCTGAGACGATTTGCTAAAGTAACTAATTACCGGTGACTCATTTCAAATAAGTCACCCAGCGTTATCTACGAATACAAAACGGTAAGAAATAGTTACAAATTATATTTGTATCAGAATAAATGAATGGGCTCTCTAATAGAACGACGTGTATTAGACATTTCCGAAAATAGATTCTCTCGTGGGACGAGTGCCAATGTGGTGTGCACTTTGGCAAAGGTTTTAGTACTTGACAGTGACAATAGATGTTAGAAACTACATAGAAAAGCAGAATCAGCAGTGATGGAGAAAAGATAGAGAAGCATACGTTGCAAAAATTCTTATCCAGTCTTAAACACTCAGTTTCAGTATCACTTTGTGCTAATTGATTATACAGGGTGGTACTGGACGGGTGGTACCATCAGGCAGGAGGTTACTCTACATGCGAAAATAAGTCGAAAAAAGGAATAACATTTTTCCGTTTGAAGCTTCGTTTATGAGAAAATAGACTTCGAAAATGAGTAGATAATGGCTACAGCCTGCATAATTAATAATAAACGTATTATCTACACATTTTCCAACTCGTAGAATCACTCCCTGTCACCTCCAATTTTTTAAATAGAATCATATATTCTTTCACGCATTAGATGAAAAGTTCACGTTTATTAAAAAAGATATGCATAATACCGTCCATAATTTCTGTCAAAGCAATGCTTTAAAAATCAAAACTCTATACTTCTGTAGCTATTTTAATGTACATTGAGGAAAACATAGGTTTCCTGGATCTAAGAAGAATTGACGACACTTGTTCTGCAAGTCCTAGAAGAAACACGTGCTGCACATCGACTATTGTACCGCCTCAATTTTGAAAAGTAGTTATACAAAAAATTTGTGCGTATTCTTCGAAGCATGTATTAGAAAGAAACATAATTGGATAAATCGTAAAAGAAGCACTTTATTAAAATATTTAGCACCTACTGTAGAGCTACCCCTTGACCGTAGAGCAAAACTTTAAATTCAATTTCTCACAAATCGAAATCTCGTTTAAAAAAGCTGTTAAAGTTTTTCCTCACTGGATACGTGTTACAAAATTTAGATTGTCTTTTTTAAAGCCGGTTCACCGTGCGCGGGTGTAAGGATGCTGACAGTAAAGTGAGTTTCAAAGATTCGATTCAGCAGAGAAGGAAAGGCGGTTCGTGCGTTTGAAACAACGTTTTCTTTTCACGCACGCGAAAGAAAGCTATTATCGTTTCAATATTCTAGACTTAAGCGTTCGGCATTTAAAATTAAAAACGGATCTTTCACGCTCGCCGCACGAATGCATTATGCATGCGCGTGTTTCTTGATTGCAATTTGTGGAGGTGGGTTCATCATACTCGGGAATCTCGTGCGTTTTCGATATTCATTATTACGTGAGACGGTATAGCAATGCTTTTAATGCTGTTTCGGGCTCATTAGTACGCTTCGCAATAAAGCTAGAAAATATTCTGCAGGGTGATTCAGCTGAGTGTGCTACATAAATTATTTGCAAAATATCGAGGGTGATCTGTCCAATGGACGAACACCCCTCGGTATATGAACGTTTCTATTGTTGTGTGAAGAATAGTAACGTTTATGATACTGGCTTTTCGCATTAAGATTTATACAGGACCTCCCAAAAGCCCTGAAACGATCGATTATTTCAAGCATTTTGGATAAAAATCTTTTAGAACCTTTACTATTACTTGGAATGACAAAAAAAATAAAATACTCTCGTTTTTTTTAACTTTTTTAACTGAGCCGAGAACAAAATTTAAAAAGAATGCGTTTTGTATATTTCTGCAACTTATATGTAGACTACGGAAGTATATGCAGATGTATATTATAAAAAAATGAACTAAACAAATAAAAAGTTAACTGAAATATGTTTTCATCATTAGGGGATATAAAAAATATATTTAATAACATTATTAAAATGTTATTAAGGTATTATTATATATTATAACATTATACACTATATTATATATTATTAAAAATATTTTTTAATCCATAGAATCCGGTCTTGATAACCAATATACTATTACTTATACTAATATGTAGTACAATACATTAACATATACCCAATTCGATACGTTTTTGGATCGTAGAAACCGATTCTGATAAGCAATTTTATGTAACAAAGGCCCAGCCGGATAAAATGGTCAAATCTGCCCTTAGCGGTTATTCAACGCATATTACACCGATCGATAGGTGACCAAGAAAAACCCCTCTGTGCAAAATTCCAACCCTCTAGCTTTTCCGGGAGGGTGGTTACAGGGTAAATTAGATCGCGTGCTTTATCGTCCATTTCGCCCTTCAGTGGGATCATAACATTTTTTAAAAAGTCTAGCCTATTTTGGGTATGAGACCGCATGTTAGTGCGGTGTTAAAAATAAAAAACCGGAAAAAATAATTGGAAAATTACAGAATTCTCTGAAACAAAATTTTTTGTCCTCACAATACATTAATTCTATAGAAAGATATTACCGAAAGCAATTTTTTCCAAATTTTGTTACGGGTAGAATAATGTCGCAAAAAATAAAAACCGAACTTTCAACGTTTTCTGAATAATATGGTATAATGCTGAATTTTTTGACGACTCCAGTGCACTGAGACGGTGTTTTCGAAATTCGGCCGAAATGATCACTTAATTATAGTGTTTGATATAGATTAATAGCAGTACAACAAAATTTACTCCAACCAAATACAACAGAAAACTAGCTTGTAAAACCAAATTAACCTTATGCTTACAAATAGATCAGAAAACACGAAAGAAAGCTGAAGTGGATAATAAGAAAATTCGACTCAACGAAACCGTAGACTGTTATTACCGACCAAAAAAACCTCAAGTAAGAGTCGTTTAAAGGGCTTGCTTATGTATCAAGATGACCTTTATTTTTAGTAGAAAAACAATAGTTTTTGAAATTCGCTATTTTTCTCATTATGCGTATACTAATTAACTTTCACTCGAAATATTTTTTTGTCAGACTGTCGAAAGTGCTTGAAAAATCGTGGGGACAATTATGTGCCAGATCTTGTATACAAAACCATCATTAAAACTTGCCTTCTAATATCCTATAATTGGTGCGTGAAAGGTTTAATTCTACTTTAAATTTTATGATTCAGTTTTTAGAACGCCGCATCTCATCACAGAATCATCTAAAACGAGTGATAACTTGGATTTGGGAGATTTAAAGGGTTATTATTCTATAACAACAGAAATTTTTTCACTATACTGAACTTGATAAATTGACTTCTGAACACAAAAAGAGGGTTTTCAGCTATGTACGCACGAAAGGCGCATTCTCACCCGCAAGCTACGAAAATAGGGCACCTTAACCTTTTGCAGTCGAAGCTCTTTTGATTTCTGAACATAGATATTTCATTGAACCTAGTGGTTTCATCCGATCCAGAATATGAACCGAGTTCATTTATTCGTGCCACACAAATTTAGTAACTTAGATCTTGTTCCAGATTATAATGTGATAATTTTTAGTAACGCCATTCGAGTCGCCATTCGAGTGCAAAGGGTTAAAGTTAGTCGCATACCAGTAAGCTACATAGAGCTCGTCGCACTTTACGCTCGGCGCGCGTAGCTTGGCATGCGCCGCCCTTAGCGTAAAGAACGACAGCAAAAACAGAATAATGCGAGAAATATGTGTTTATTTACCCGTGTTTCACGTTGTTCAGCGCCGGGGGCTTGAAGAGGTTGAAGAGTGACTTGGTGGATGCTGACAATCTATAATGAACGAAAATGCAAACGAACACCATGCGGTGCAAAACAAGGAGAGAAAACATAAAAGGGAACAGCGTGGCGTGTCGAACGTGTTGCTGTTGATTCTGCGTTGTATTCTAACTGTTTACGTGTTCGGCGTGCAACCGCCGGAATTATGCACTTCCGATAGCACTCTCTCAATTCAGTAAGCTGGTGAGAGAAGTTCCTGTAGCCAGCAAATGGAAACAAGCCGAGGGGCCGTCGCTCGCTTTTGAAGATTAATGATCTGTGAATTCAGGAAGTAAATTTGTGCCGCCGCACGTACATAAATCGATAGTTCGTTGCCTCCCGTCGTCTATGTCGATCCCCGGGTAACGTTCAACTTTAACCTTGCGTGCGGTTGCATACAGTCGTGGACTGAATTCAGTGGACAAGATAGAAAGAGCAGCTATCGATTTTACATTATCGTTACAAATTTGACTTTGGTTAATAATAGAGATTGTTTCTAACATAATAACACATGGTGAATTTTAAATATCTTGTTGGGGCATGATTCTGAACAATTTTCCTCATTTGGCATAATTAACGGGTAACCTTAATTTCCGAAATATTCGCGGGAAACTACCCTATATAGAATCGAAACGAAAATATAATAAAATAATGTATTCTTGTAATCGAGTGAGAGAACAAATTAAACAGATGAGAAGAGAATATTAGGATATTGTAAGTTGATGAAAAACTTGATTTTTTGGGAAATTTAATGTTTTCGAAATACGTGAACTCATAATCTTATACTGCTCGACTTGATAAGAATTAGAAGGATGAGAAAACCTTGAATTTTAAGTAAAAATATCAATCGTAATAAAAATAAGAAAAATATTACTATTTACATCAATTAACGTAAAAAAAACCATGTTTATTTCGCTGTTAATTAGATATCCCTTTAAAAATTTTGAAATTAACATATAATAAATAATAATAAAAAGTAAATTAATTATAAAATGGAGTAATATATTATTTAAAATAATATGACGCAGATGTTGCCACGAGACGATTAAATGTAGTAGTGGTTCAAACCATCGAGCCCTATAATAAATTTAAATTTCATCAAAATTTCATATCCTAAAAAAAGTCTATTCAGTACTCGGTTATATTTTTGTCACTAAAGGTCCGTCGTTCGAGTGTCAATATGTACTAGTACGAAGTTCTACCATATTCTCTGTTCACTCATTCTTCCTTGAGACAAAATAACACGTTCGACAGCCACGCAATCAACAAAGTTTGTAGAAGCGAAGAGTGCACATGTGAACTAAGAACGTATCGGCGTGTAATCAAGAGCAATAATTACGAAAGCAAGGGAGATATGTGCATATAAGGCTATCGTTTTCGTGTTTACCTGCTACTGACGAGTTGCGAGTTGCTTCCTTGGATCTGCGGCGAATGAATGAAGTCCCCTGTCGATGACCACCGTTTGGCCCTTCGTAAGCTGCTTTGGGGTGGGCCGTTTGATCTCGCTGTTGGTGATCTATCGAATAACAGGATTACTACGTGACGAGAAAGCTTGTTACCTGTTCGCAGAATTGCCGCCTCATCGGACACCGGTTCGATTACGAAGTAAAACGAAGACTTAGTTCGTCCTTGTCACGTTCGAAAGATTTCTTTGATCTTATTACACATTACAGATGTTTCTACGTCGCATCTCTCAAACAGAAACGTCTTAGTTTTATTTGGTTGTTTTAACGGGCACACGTGTTCACATACGTTCCGCTTGCGATGCCGTCGAAGCTTTCGCGATCGTTGGACATTTTTGTTCGCGAACGCTACTGTTTGAGGAAGCCATCACCTATTTCAATGACCTTGGGATATGTGGTCTAAGTCTTCACGCTGAACAACTTTCTTCTTTTTGTAGATATAATATGTGTTTTACGAATTGGTTAGTTATATGCATGCTAAAAATTTTGTTGAAATCGGTTAACGTTGCTAGGAGCTACAAAATACGAAAATCATGGCATTTCAAGACTTTCGGTCACAAACTGTATGAAATTAGAGATTTTATCATATTTCAATGCCTGTTGTTCACTTTCGCATCAACAAATTTCCACGAAATTTCCAGCATGCATACAAAATGCATTATTTGTATTTCTGTTATACGGTCGGATAAAAAGTTGTATAACGGGATCTCTTTATTTTTTCATGATTCCATCCAATTGGTATTTTTGCAGAAAAGTTTTTACACATTGTCTAATAAATTAGACCTTCTAACATCTCAACATAATTCAGCTCGTTTGATCTAATTCTAAAACATGATATTTCCTTTTTAAAGGTAGCGAAAAATATTTTGATTTCAAGATTTGAATGGTATCGAGTGGAACTTATTCTTGTGCTATTAGTTTTTTCGTGAGTAAACGTCTAAAGGCCATGTGAAAGACAACTTTCGTCAACAGTACATCAGTGGACGTAGCTCGACATTAGATAGAAAAATGAAAAAATTAACCTACTTATCTCTAAAAGTTAATAGTTTAGGAGATATTCCAGTTTGAATAACGCTATCGAAGGCAACCAATCGTTTTTGTTACATTAAATACAAATTTTTGTTACTGGTAAATATAGAGATAACGTCTTACATATGAGTTTTACGCATGCACTCACCAAAAAACTAGTAGCAGCAGTGTACTAAAGATGTCAAAATCGGTGGAGACACCTTGTATATTTGTTTACGATTGTATTTGTAGAAAAAAGTCATTCAGAATGATGACTGTCAGAACGTGTTTCAAGGTCATTGAATCGGAAGTGACTCCCTTAAAACGTATACTCACCCTTTTATTTATATCGAAGATATTTAATTGGAAAAGGTTGTAATTTAGTTGAAAATTTTTGCTTTTAATGGAACCTTGACGATGAAAGGATAGATGACTGAAAAATGTTAGTTATGTTCGTTTATTGCAACAGAATCAGCGACGTGAACGGATTTCCGTATTCTTCGCGTCATACCTGCATCGCCTTGGAAGATAACGATTGATGCTTGTGAAATCCCGTCATTTACAAATATTAGCAATGCTGCGGTTGTTTAGAACGATCTAAGAAAGAAGTACATCCTATTATACCAGAACGTACAAAGATTTCCAAACGAGTTTCGGTAAAAAAAACTCAGTTTGTAAGTTGTAATTATGGTAAATTCGAAAATATTGCAAAAAAGAATGCCTTTTGCAATTGGTCCATGGATTATTCAATATTAAAGAATAGAAAAATGCGAATGTACAGAGTACATGACAAACAATAATTTTAATATTGATGGGCACTCTGACATTGTGTAGAGTTTTATCAATATCTTATTAGTCTTCAGTAACCGTTTTAGCAACCTATACATTAAAGTAATCTGGTATTAGATTCGTAAAGGAATTAAAAAGTGTACGAAAATAAATATTGTAAATAAGGTTAAAAACGGTGTCAAACAGTTAAATACTTATAATCTTATCAAAATTTGACATAAAAAACATTCATTTGGTTTAGATTATATTATCGATTAATATAATATTGAATAATTAACATTGTTTTACCAGATTAATCAGCTTANATAAATATTGTAAATAAGGTTAAAAACGGTGTCAAACAGTTAAATACTTATAATCTTATCAAAATTTGACATAAAAAACATTCATTTGGTTTAGATTATATTATCGATTAATATAATATTGAATAATTAACATTGTTTTACCAGATTAATCAGCTTANGTTGACAAAATTACACTATACAAGATTTAAAAACCAATAATGTTTATGAATTAAAAATTAAAAATTAAGTAATTCGGTTTTTA